TCTGACCTGCCGTGCATCCTGACGATCGTTCGGTATGTATCAAACTGGTATTAGTTGCATATACTTGTTCCAGGATTACACTTTGTACAGACTGCATCCAACTTGGAGCTCGAATGGAATACGAAGTACTGAAATTTATCCGATCACTATAGATCAAACAGCTTTCTAAAGCATGAGCACGGTGTAATTAACATATTAAATGGAAAGTTGTAATTAATCTTTATATAACGATGTGCTGGCCATTTTGAAAATTTATGCACACTTATAGTTATAAATTGTTACCATATCTTAAAAACGTAGTGTTGTCCACTACTTCCGTAGCTGAATAATTAAAAAAGGAATGAGTTACTTACAAAATGATTATGACAGTTCAGGCTTGGGCATAGAGGCCATAATAAACTCATGAAATCGACAGTTGACCTTGACCAACAACCCCTAGCACAAGACACAAAGGCAACAGCCTCAGCTATTGAACTCACTGCAAAGGCAAACAACCTGCGGAGGCCAGTTCCCACAGAACTGAATAACTTGGTTTGAACAACTCGTTTGAAGGTCCGACAACGGCTGTTGCTGCAGAGGTACATCAGGTAATGAGACAAACTACCAAATACCTCCATAGCAAAGTAAGAGGACACTTCCGAAGCGATAGGGTACACCCAACAGGAGGAGGATGGTCTATATATATAAAAAGCGATTTAAAAGCCTTGCGGCTACCCGACACCCAACTAACTGAGGTGACAGAATCATGTCGGTATTTTTTCCACACAAATGGCACGAAATACATGATTGGAAGGATTTATCGTCTTGCCTCAGGTACTAAGGCTCAAAAAGATAAAGTGACTGAGGCAGTACTGCAACTGACACTCCTGGGGTTCGATCAAAAAATCTTAGCAGGAGAATTCAATACCGCATCTCTAAATCTCAGCAATCAGAGTACAGCTCTCACTGGATGGTTCCAAAAACGACTGGGCGCAGCCATCAGAAGCTCTGGGCTTACTGAGCTCGTATGCAATGCCGTTAGATGGACTAAGGAAGCAAATTCCTCGAAACTGGATTGTCCGTTGACAAATGATCAGCCCCTCCTTGAGGATATTCACGTCCATACACCGATAGGTAGTAGTGACCAGTCTTGTTTAACATAGTCATGAACGAGACACTCACAGGACGAAAACGAGCCCTATCTCTGCTGCGATAGGGCAAATTACACGCGTATGAGGGAGATCCTTTTAACATGCCCCACGGCCGCAAGAGTAGTGGATGCTGACAGTAGATGTCACTGACAAACTGTGAGAGGCATCATTCAGAGTACTGTCCTCAGCAATGTACCTCAGTCTCAACACGCACCCGGAAATAGAAGAACACTAATTGGGCACTGAACGCTTGCTACAGGCGGAGAGGATAGCTTGGCTTAAAAGGCAGGTCTTCTTGAGATTGTAGTTCCTACTTGGCATTGAGAAACAGATGCAATACTAAAGTTAAAAGAGATAGGAGACGATTTCAAATGAAGCCAGCTGCCAAAATACAGGCAAACCCGAAGCATCTGTTTAGGTTCATAACTAAGAGAAAACCTACAAATCAGGATGTGTTCCCTCAAAGGTCCGAACGGGAAGACCTCACCAAGCTAGAGATAGCTGAGATCTTCAACACAAACTTCGCCAATCAGTTAAACCAGGCATCCACATGTTCAGAGTACTAAGCAAACCCAGTGCCAGCTGATGACTTAGGGATTATCCGAATTACTCCTGACTTACTAATAAGGAAACTAAAATCCTTACGCCCAGATACGTCACCAGGTTGTTACACCGATATGTGACCTGACCAGGTATTCACTGGAGTCACACATAACTCCCAGCCGAATGTAAAAAAAGCTACTATCCCCCCAATCTTCAAACGAGGAGATAGGAAGGACCCAGCATGTCGCAGATTAGTCGCATTACAACTAATTCTATCAAAGTTAATGGGAGGACTGGTAAAGGAACAGATAGAGGAGTACATTCATAAGCATAAAATACTCCATGAAGCTCAACACGGGTTTCGGAAAGGTAGGTCGGGCGCATCCAATCTTCTCAAAGCAAGGACAGTTGAACATCCTGCATGGACCGTAAAACACCGATGTTCACAATATTTCTTGACTTTTCTAAAGCCTTTGACACAGTACCCCGGGCATGCCTGATGGCGAAGGTTGTGGAAGTGGGCTTCACTGAGTCATCCTATCTTGGCTCGGGAACTACCTTGAGAATAAAAAGTTACGTACCAAGGTAAGTAGAGTTCATGAGAATTGGCGAGTCTCAGCGTCGTGAGTTTCACAGGAGATATCTTAGGGGTGATTCTCTTCCTGATATCTATAAAACGACCAGCTAGGCACAGTAAGTTCGAAGGCATTGATCTGCTAAGACGATACGACGATCTGGAGATCCACTAGAAGCGGAGAGGATTCGACTAAGCTTCAAAAGGACCTTTCATCAATTGAGGAATGGGCAGTAAAAGACGGTTTAAAACTAAACAAGTATAAATGCAACGTCATGTACACTCTGCCCCACATGACGCAAACGATTTACACCCTCAGCAGAAGTCCGCTTTCTACTGTCTCCTCAGAGAGGGATCTCGATTTGAAAACCACATAAAGCCTCCACACAAGCTCGAACTATATAAGGGACGCAGACGAGGCGAATGAAATTCTTCAGTTTAAGCGAAGACAACTTGGTGCTATCACCACACAATTATTCTTACCGCCGTTTAAGACATATGCAAACCAACATCTTGAGGTTCACAACGCCGTCGCACCACCTCTCCTTAAAAGAGACATAAATCTCTTAGATCGAATGCGGAGATCAGCTGCAATGATGTCTACTTTGTCGCTCTTGATTTGCCTGATGGCCAAACTGATCTCCCCAATTGTTCGTGGGTCAACATCAATCAGGATATCCGTTGATGCTGCTTCAATGTTGGGTAAGTTCGGTTGAGCTGGTTGATTCAAGAGTTTCTTAAAGTGTTCTACTCACCTGTTTCGCTCATCTTCAATGTTGCTGATTACTTTGCATTCCTTACTTTTCACTGGTCAATTTGGTTTACGATAGTTTCCAGCGAGCTTCTATATTATGTCGTACAACTGTCTCAAGTTTCCTTCCGTTGCAGCTTTTTCCACTGTCACAGCTAGATCACCCATATATATGCGGTTTTGGCCCTGATGCTTTTCTTCACCTGCTTATTTGCTTCTGCGTGTTCAACATGTGCCTTGACTTTCTCTGCTGATGTTGATTAGTGCTTTTTTGTTCTTCCTTTCTTGAATATTATCTAATGTATGAACAGTGACCAGTCCCTTGTGGTCCGGAACCGCGTGACATGTTGAAGTGATTACCTCCTTGATCCGTTACCAGTTGATCGCCATTGTATCTTCCTCATCGTTAAGTAGACTGTGAAAGGCTTAGGAACCATTGATAAGGGTTATCCTGAACTCGTTGATTTTTCAAGTATCCCGAAGAAATACCGTATTTAACTTTTGTGATCTCGTTCAGCTTGCTGTTCAGTGCTTCTTGGGTTCCGGTTTCATATTGACGAAAAGCAAGTGATAATCTGAGGCTGTGTCAGCTCTTGGCTGTCACGTCCTCTATCTTCCTCCTGAAGTTTTTACAGACACAGTTGTGGTCGATTTGGTTCACAGTAGTGTGATCCGGTGAAATCCATGTAGCTTTGTGTATGCGTTTGTGTGGGAATATGGTGCTGCCAATGACCAGTTTGTTGAAGGCACATAGGCTTGCAAATCTCCCACCATTTTCGTTCCTTTCTGCCTGTCCATGTCGTCCCCTGATGTCTTCATATCCAGTGTTGTCCATGCCAACCTTGGCGTTTAGGTCTCCCATCAGAATGGTCAAGTCGTTTGGTGGGTATTTCTCGGCGATTGACTGCAGCTAACATTATGACAAGGAACATAATCATAGTAATTCATTGAGTGTACCAGATCAAGTCGTGCTCATCAACAAGGATGTTACGGATATTCAGAGTTCAATTACGCCTCTAACCTTTACACCTTTCAGATGAAGGGTACTCAAAGCTAAATGAAGCCAAAAGTCAGGGACAACCAAGATAAAAGATCGTTATGAATTGGAGGAATTTTCGCCCAGGTTTGTACCTAGTAAACACGATTGAACGCCTGACCCCGCTAACCTCTCCCACAAGTAGTGTCTGTACTAGTTAGACGAATTAGCCCCTGCTGTTTACTGTAAATTAGACACATGCCGAGTAACTCTGGGAATTATTGGCACATTTTATTTTGCTCCACTGTACTAAAGCACACTCACAATATCTGACCAGCGTTCTCATCACGATAATCATATAGATTTCCAACTGTCCTTCGTTTTGAAAAGTTCTCACATGATGAATTTTTGCCAGTTGTTTAGTTTTGCAATATATCACTGCCTTATTCCGTGGTAATCCCAGTACAATCATTAGGTCGCGTTGCTAATGCTTCTTACTAGCAAGTCAGATCTATGCATCACATCATATAGTTTTGATTACATGAATTGAGTTAAATTTCCTCATCACGAATTTATCCGCTTTTGTATCTCATTCTAGTCACTGATTCTTAAACTGTATACTTAGTTTTACATTAGGATAACAACAATTTATCCTTTATATCTTCGGCTATTGCCTCTAGACTTATTCTTACATACAAATCTACTAACATGATAACAAATCTGCAATTTAGTGCAGGATTATCACTTTTCACCTAATGAGTAAGAGTCAACCATGAATATTACGAAACAATAAAAAACTAACCGTCTGTATTAGATGCATTAATTTTTTGACTTTATTCCTCGTTAATTCATTTAGGTGACTAAAGATCTTTTCTAGGGTAAGGCGTATGTCAACGAAAACACTTCTACCGCCATTTTGCGGCAGATTTACAATCGTTATTATTAACATACCACGTGGGAAATCTAGAAATAGGTGGTATAGTAAACTACATTATCAGCTACACTTTGTTAATAATATACCTTTAGCGGTGATACCTGAACTGCCGAATAAGTCTCAAACTGATGAAAAGAAACTAGGAAAAATAAGTAAGTGATGTGCAAAACTTCCCATTACCTAATTTGAGTGAGCTACAAGACAGAGTTTCTCAAATAAAAGACTGGACTGGTATCTGTCAGTTTTGAGGGCCGAGATTATAAAACTTTCGTCTCAACCAACAAGTCTCTTCAGTAAGAACAAAACGCAATTCCACCTCATAGATCAATCAGATAAATCAAATGATTGCAATAAAAGTTAATTTTCAAAACAACTTGAATTTCGCTAGAAATAATGAGTCTGTGAAAATCACGCATATCAAGATTCTTTAATAAACGTACAATTGAAAAAATGAAAATAACCAAACTAATAAATTTATCTCGTTATGAAATAAAATAAAGGAATTTATGAAGCAAGTAGATAGACATTTCATTACTCATAGAAAGATATGTATCATGAAATTAACATTATTAAAATTGTCAGCACAAAAAAAATTAAATTTTGTTTTAATGGTTTTCATTTTGTGGCCAATGGCCAGGGAGAGGGCACTGTCTTGAAATGTACTACTATCATCTTATTGAATAGATGTTTTGACATTTTCATTTTGACTGAACACATTACCCAAATACCAGAAAAACTGCAGAAAGAAAAAAATTAAAAAAAAACACGCAACAGTTACAAAGAGTTAAAAATGAGTGACATACAAGTCTAGGCAATTTGTAGATGAAAGAAAAGAATGGTGGTAAGCAAATATCTTCTACAAAGTGCATGATATGAATTTTATGTTACAAAAACATAATTTATACTGTGAGGTAACACAATAAAAGTTACTTAGATGACAATTTTTATATATACATATATATATATATATATATATAGATGCATGTAGCATAGAATTCCTATGTGTTTACTCATTGAATGTGAAAGTCGAAAAATAATGAAGCACATGATTTAAGATCAATATAGCTTAGATTACTATGAAAAGTTACTTGGCTGTTGAAAAGTATCAGCTTCTAGCATTTTCATATGAGCTGAGAGATGATTTAGTGGTTATTGACAATTATAATTTTTCTATATTTATATTGTTAATTTTGATTAGACCCCATACCATTTAAACACTGAGTCTGGATTAAATTGCGTATATTAGTTAGGTCCCGTAATTCGTAATACATCACACTGTTTTATATGATTTAATACTATTAGAACTTTGGGATATTGAGTTTGTTCAGTTCTATTGGTCATTATTTCCTTGAATATCAGTTCACTTGACTCTCTTCAAATCAGAACAATAATCCAACAATATATCCTCCACATTAAAAAGTGAACAATAAACACCTAGTAATAAAATCTATATTGAATTCACATAGCAATCTCTTAAGACTTTAATTCGTAAAAACGAGAACTCAATGATTGAAAATGGATCAAATAGGAGTATTCCAACTTTGTATTGAAGTTTAATTCCTTTTTTGGATTATATTATTTCTACTAAATCTTTTCTACCATTACTGATACTGTTACTACTTTTAAAACTTCAGGATTTATCTTGTTAATTTCATTTCACAGTGCTAAAATGGTATGGTAATTCGAGTCAATATGCCAGGTTCAACTTCACTGATGACCGACAAATGCTTCATGATTACTTATCTATCACAAATACTGTGTTTGTTGGAAGATTTGTGAGTGCAACACGAACCTCAAAAATCTGACCGTTGAGGACACGGGTAGCCTATAATTTCTATTTTTTTTTAATGACATCATATGATGTTCCTTTTCCTACGTCTGCATTTATAATGTATTCCACTGTCTAGATAATTATTAATCTGATTTCACCTTGTCAAAATAAAGAAGCAGCTCGATTTACTCTTCGTGTATCCGGTAACCCTGATGCTGCTTCCAGGGGTCTTGTTGGCGTAGGCATAGCAATGAGTCGTATAGCTGAACAATCTCTCCTTGACTGGATCCCAGTAGATAGTCGCTTGTGCGCTGTCCGACTAAATGGGACAGTATGGACTCGGAAAGATAGGGACACTCGCCGTTGCCTCTTCATCGTATCTGCCTATGCCCCCACTGACTGAAGCTCAGACGAGGTGAAAGATGAGTTTTACAGAAAGCTTTCGGACCTCCTCCAAAAAGCTAGGCGCTCTGATATAGTATTAATGGCTGGTGACTTTAATGCTCAAGTAGGTAGAATAAGTGAAAATGAAAGACACATAGGTGGATGTTATGGTGTCGCGACTCACAGAACAGACAATGGTGACCGTCTGTTGCAAGTATGCTCAGACAACCGCCTATTCTTAGTAAACACTAACTTTAGGCATAAAGAAAAGCATCTCTTGATCTGGCGACCCCCGAAGTCGTCTCAACGTTGGACGCAACTAGATCACATCGCCATCAGTCACCGATGGACGGGTTCGATAGAGGACTGTCGCTCGTTCTGGGGCACATGTTTAGATTCAGATCATGCCCTAGTGTGAGTGCGTATTTGTTTGAAGCTTAATGGACGTAGGAAAGACACCGTAAGGAAGTCTCTTCGGGTTTTACTTAATGATAATACGGCGAAGAATATATTTCAGGAACAACTAGAACGACAGTTAGGCGACTATTCAAGCGATTCCCGTCCGGAGGCAGGTTGGTATGATATAAAAAGGTTGTGGAAACAGCAGTGGTATCTGCTAGGAAGGTTGACCATAAGGCTAGAATGAAGCCGTGAATCTCAGTGGCATCCACCGATCTGATGGATGCCCGAAAACTCATCCCACCTGGCTCTGAACATGATGAAGAACGAAGTCAACTCAGCCGCAGACTTATAAAAAGCCTACGTAACGATCGCGAACAGTGGTGGGTGGCGAAAGCAAAAGCGATGGAAAAGGCAGCGGCGATCGGCAACAGTAGACAACTTTTCCGACTTATCAAGGAAACTGGTATTAGGAATCCTAGTGTAAGTGAGACTATCTCAGAAAATGACGGGACTCTCATTTATTCTCAATCCAGGAGACTGGATCGATGGGCAGAACACTTTAGGGATCAGTTCAACTGGCCTCGAGCCACTCTTCGGTTACCCACGATCTCCAGTCATCCCCCTAGTCTTAATGAAATTGAAAAAGCGTTAGGAAATCTGAAGCGAGGGCGAGCTGCAGGTCCTGATAGACTGACCCCTGAGATATTTAAGGATGGTGGTTCAGTTTTAGCAACTAGGTTGACTGAGATCTTAGGTAGAATCTGGGAACTGGACGTAATCCCATCAAACTGGTCTCAATCACTGATTGTCCCAATCTATAAGAAAGGACAGAAGTCTTCTTGTGACAATCACAGGGGAATAAGTCTAACTAATATAGTATCTAAAATATTGGCCTCAGTAATACTTCGACGCTTAACGAAAGCTCGTGAAGAGCAAACTCCAGAAAACCAATCTGGTTTTCGGCCTGAATGTGGATGTATAGACGACAAATGCACACTACAATAGTTCCTGGAACACAGACACACATTTAGGCATCCGACAATAGTTGTTTTCCTGGACCTAAAAGAGGCATTTGACTCAGTGGATCGTGAGGTTCTGTGGCAGTGTCTGTCATTGAAAGGTGTACCAAAGAAGTACATTAACCTCATACAAGCTCTCTACTCGAACACCACTGGTCGAGTGAGAGCTTATGGCGAACTGTCACCGGAATTCTTCACTTCAAGTGGTGTCCGTCAGGGATGTCCACTTTCTCCATTTTTGTTTAATTTTATCATAGACATGCTCCTAGAAATAACCTTATCCTCGTCTGAATTTTCTGGAGTAGACCTTTTACCAGGTGGCTCGCTTATTGACTTAGAATATGCCGATGATATTGTCCTACTTGGTGAAGACGCTGACAAAATGCAGAGTCTTCTGACTATCCTAAGCAACAACGCAAGCATGTTCGGGATGCGGTTTTCCCCCTCGAAATGCAAATTGTTGCTTCAAGACTGGGTTGCATCGGCACCTGAACTAGTGATAGGGAGTGAAGTGATCGAGCGTGTAAATCGCTTCACTTATCTTGGGAGTCTGATCAGTGCCGATGGCCTGGTGACTGACGGAATCTCAGCTCGGATACAGAAGGCTCGATCGGCTTTTGCCAACCTGCGTCACTTATGGCGTAGGCGAGATATCCGTTTGCTGACTAAAGGACGAGTATACTGCGCAGTAGTTCGCTCCGTCTTACTTTATGGCTGTGAAACATGGCCAGTGAGAATAGAAGATATTCGTAGGTTACTGGTTTTCGATCATAGGTGTTTTCGAAGCATTCCTCGTATACCGTGGGACACCCGAGTGAGAAACGCTGTTATTAGGAATCGGGTGCTAGGTAAGAATGGCAGATCAATAGACGCAGTAGTGAAACTTCATCGGTTGAGGTGGTTGGGACATGTGTTGCGTATGCCCAACCACCGACTGCCTCGACGAGCTTTGTTTTGTAGTGTAGGAATAGGTTGGAAGATAGTTAGGGGTGGCCAAACCAAAACATGGCATAAATCCATGAAGTCATTGACGAGTGGACTTAGCGACGTCAGTAATTGTCGACTACCTGGTTGGGGTCCGCGAGATGATAATAATCGATGGTTAGAGACGTTGAATGACATGGCTCAAAATCGTTCGCAATGGCGCCGGTGCATTTATTCTTTGTGTTCTCTCAAATACTAATCTTCTGGGTTCTTCAACACCTCTAGTTTTGACTTTCTAAACTTTTCTCACTGAATCATACTTCTTGAATAATATCCTCTAATGCTAACCTCTCCGATTACTTCTTATACCCTTACTAACTCTTCTTCTATTGGATTTGAATTGACAATTACATCTCTGTGCTGATGTGGTATGGCGACATGAACTGATGTACTTACGTACGAAGTTCTACGTTGCAACTGACTGACTGACCACTGTCTAGATGTTGATGAAAGCCATCAAGCAGCTTTTCGTATTACGTAATTGCTTCCAAATAAAACTCTTAATTTATGCTCCGAATGATCCATTATTTAAATTAAACATAGAAAACTGTTTACAAAAGTAATAGACTAGAACCTTTGCAAACTTATTTCCGAAGTCAAAAATTGTCAAGGTTTTAACCTAACAAGTATGAAAATCTGTGCATTAAGAAAGTTATGAATCATAACCAATTTCTAGTGATCATACAAAGTAAGGGTTACCTGAAATTAGATAGCAGATAACTGTTAGGCAACAAACAATGACTGATAGTTGTCGACATGTGCCTTATGAAATTCGAAGTGAGTGTTGATACATAAAAATCTATTAAATTAGTTGGAAATGAATAACGAAAAGTAAAGCAATATTTCTCTGATTTGATATGAATTTATAAATCAAAACTTCGATAAAGTCAACATGAAATATTTACATTCCTGAACGGTAGTCTAAAGAAGAAAGCACTTACGGCGAATACAGAAGTCAAAAAACCGAGTACAGCCCCAGCCAGTACATCTGTTGGATGGTGATAATGATCAGTCACACGTGTAGCACATACGTAAAACAAAACGGCGAGTAGAACGTATTGCAGGAATGGTCGTAGAAAAGGTATCACAGATAACTGTAGCCGAGCCTGCAAATATATCTGTAGAAGAAATAATAAAGAAATAAATAAATTGCACTTACATCGAACTAGTGATTAATGAATATCAGTCACCACTAGCTCAATGTATACAAATTTATTTAGTAACCTGGAATTTAAGATGATAGATACATCCTGGCATTTTTTAACGTTATTTTAATCAATTATCTAGCACTGACCGCTTCACTTATCTCGGGAATCTCCTCAGTGCTGATGGCCCGGTGTGTGTCTGACGGAATCTCAGCACGGATACAGAAGGCTCGATTGGCTTTCGCCAACCCGCGTCACTTATGGCGTAGGCGAGACATTCGTTCGCTAACCAAAAAATAAGTCTACTGCGCAGCAGTTTGCTCCGTCCTACTTTATGGCTGCGAAATACGGCCGGTGGGAGTAGAGGACATTCTTAGGTTATTAGTACTCGATTATAGATGTCTTCGAAGCATTGCTCATTTATCCTGAGACAACCGAGTGAGCAATGCTGTAGCTAGGAAACGAGTACTAGGTAAGGATGGCAAATCAATAGATGAAGTATTGAAAATCCATCGGTTGAGGTGGTTAGGACATATGTTACGTATGCCTAACTACCAACTGCCTCGACGAGCGACATATTGTGTTGAAGGAGTAGGCTAGAAGGAGGCTAAAGGCAGCCAAAACAAAACATGACACAAATCCACGAAGTCATGGATAAGTGACTGAGACACGTTGATAGATGTCAATCAGTCAATCAAACGTAACGCGGAACTTCGTACGTACGCACGTACATCAGTTCAAGCTGCCATACCACATTAGCACAGAGATGTAATTGTCAATTCAAATCCCATAGTAGTAGAAGTAGTACAGGTATAAGCAGTAGTCGGAGATATTAGGGTTTGAACATACTATTGAAGTAGAATTTAGTGAAACAATCTCAAAAAGATAAAGGTGATCAGGAACTCTGAAGGTTACGATCTGACAGAACACAAAGAATGAATGCATTTGAGCCATGGCAAACGGTTTTGAGCCTTGTCATTCAGGGTCTCTAACCATCGATTACTATCATCTCGTGAACCCCAATCACGTAGTCGACACCTACCGACATGATTCAGTGACTTCATGGATTTCTGCCAAGTTTCGGTTTGGCACATTAACAAAGAGAGATAAGGTTGTAAGTTCAAACCCTAAAGTAGTAGTAGAGGTGGTAGCAGTATTAGCTACTGCTCCCAACCGTAGATGCTACCTTGACGTGGTGATCGGGCTTGCTTACCGTGATGACCCAACCAAGCTATGTTGGCTGAAACACAAGTTCCTTTAGGTTCTACCAAGCCACGCAGGTCGATTGAAGAATGATGAGAGTAAAAGCAGCAAATCAAGGTTGGATAGCGAAGTTATACTGCTGGCTGTAGACGGGTGTGACTGCAGTAAGGCATTTTCCCTCGAATAGCCAGCATCAGCATCGATGCTGCCTACTCACAACGGAAGGAAGGGGTTGGGAAAGGTAGACCCTAAAAACATCACACCTCATCTTACTCTACGGACTTCCTTCTCCGGTGGTAAGCCTTTTGAAGAGCAGAGCTAACACATTAAAAACTTCCCATAAAAAGGCTACGTGCGAACAGCCTCAAACAATTGCCCCTTCGACACTGTAGTTACTCTCCCAGGTTGATAAGACCAATTCTAGCCCAACTTCTTTTCCACGTCCCTCAAGAAGAGATATCCTTCCACTTTGTGGGCAACCAGAAAGTGACAACCGTCCTCATATTCATAAATCCGTCACAATCAAGTCCATGGCGCAGATGATGCAAACGATTCGAGTACACGAAACGTTACTCCTGGTCTCCTGAAACCACACTCTGAACTACATGTTGGAGCTTCCAAAGTTCGAACTTTGCGCCGAATACTACAACAGGCTTCCTTAGCTAGGACTCTAGAATCTCATGCCATCGATGTACGCTGTGTTTCCGAAAGGCTTTTACAAGATCTCAGGGGTATCATTCATTTGTCCTCACTATTTCAAAATAAAAAACCATCATAATAATTCACGCTTCACATATTTGGAAGCCCCAATGCTGCTTGCCGTGGCCTTATCGATGAGCGTACAGCTCTATCAGGCTGAATCCCAGGAGACAGTCGCTTGTGAACTGACTGACTAAGCTTGATTTGCGTGCTTGTTAACTTCGGACTTCCTGCGTTCCTGTTGAATACCTTTCTCCACGTCTTACAAAGACTTCTTCCTCTAGTTAGTGGGGCCTGGGACGCTCGGATTAGAATAACCTATCGTGTCACTGCACCATTAATCTTCGTTCCGTTTACCGAGTTAGGTAAACTCGGAATAGTTCGAGTATATCATTGTCTCAACATACGCTCCGGGTGATTGCAGCTAAGATGAGGCAAAAGATGAACTTTACAGAAAGCTTTTCAACATAAGTAATTGCTGTTTTAAAACTGAATCTACCCTTCTATATGTGCATAATTTATAGGTATTGGATTTAGTTGAAATTCCTTTTATTTTAAAACAATTGCCACTGTTCTAGGGAAATAAACCATTCACAAGCAATTAAATTGCTCACATTTCAACTGCATTGATCTCCAGATTTTACAGCGACGAAACACAGCAAATATTTTGTTGCATTAAATCATAAACTGATCGTAGTAAAACAACAACTTAAAACTAGAAATCATTGAGATAACTGCTCGTTTGTGAGGCACTCTTCAAAGTAAACGTCCAGGATCCCACCATTAACATTTCATTGGTGGGGTTGTGGACCTAACAGTTTCTACAACCTTATGCACTAATACGACTACTGTCCTTTAGTGGCATCAACTCTGATCTTTCCTATCCTACCAATCAACTATGATGAATAAGAATTAAGATTGATATTTGGGTCCTCATTTGTGGTCGGCGAGTGACTTAAAAGCTACTATCTTTTATTCACTTATCTGTTAAGTGACATCTAATCATACCATTTTGCAGGACAAAACAATTTCTTTTGTTGGCTGGTTATCCCATATTTTAAAATCAATTAATTAATTAGCGATTTTCCATCGATAATTTGTTCTAGTGGACGGTTATCAGTCCACTATATAGCATTATAGCACAGGATTCACAGATCAGTATTCTAATAACTCGTTTGAACTGTACAAATAACAAAATCCTCCTTTGCAACACAGGTTTACGATGATTGTCAATTTTTATATTCTAATGTTTTGTTAAACTCACTTAACATATAGGACGCGAAAAACCATACATACATAAACCAGTACATGGCGTATCTCATCATAAAAATAAAGACGAAACGCAACTTCAAAACCATTTATATATATATGTAACACGCTACATCGATTCTATAGTTTAATGAATATTACCTAGTACATAACCCGCTAAGGAATGCATGAAACTCGAACCGTGCAAATGATTAAAATATTCATAACTAACATAACGAAGTACTGTTTAGATGTCAGGAGGACAAAGATTGAATTGAAGCATGTTGCATGTAGGATTACGTCAGTGCAAATTGATTGGCCTATTCCTAGTCAATTAGCGCTAGCGGATAATTGGAGAAGACTTCAGAATTTTCTGGTGTACAATAATCAGTATACTAAAGTTTCTCATTGTGATTCGTTTCCATTCATCTTGGTTTGTTTGAAATGTCTAATTAAGTATCTGCCTAAGTTGTGCCCTGATTTCAAGTACTAATCAAATGAGGTAAAGTGCTTGAAGAATGCTAAGTAACGAGAGTATCTAGGTCTGATGATAAAATGTCATTTTCAAAATATATCACACCTACCACAGTGAAAAATAAACCAGCAGCAGCTGTTGATGCATGACCCGACATGAATGACAAACTAAACAAATAAAATAACAAGAAAGCAAAGTATTATTGTTGAAGATGTTAAACTATCAAGCACATTTTATTTGAACTAAGTGTAAGAGTAGGTATTGGCTTAAATGTAATTTTTGTATAGTTGACTTTTGTTTTGATTCAGTATAAGTATGGAGATGAAGTAACAGACTTGGTAAGAGATTGAATGGATCGATTGTATTGCCATTGTAATTTAACTTTGGACAAAACGAATAAATAATATTTCGCAAAATGATGACTTCATTTCAACAAAAGTTCTCGGTTTCAAAAGCTGATTCAACAAATAGGATATGGGAATCATGAGGTTTTGATTGATTAATAATACAAAATTAATGTTTGTGTTGTACTACTTCCATTGAAGACAGTAGCCCATTCAATTTTCAGTCTTAACCAAGATGGTAAATAGTTTAAAGTTTATTAGGAAAGTAACAAAGATCATTGTAGGTTTAATTATGTAAAGTGGTCGGTGATATGATGGGCTGAAGTGTACTCGCATCATTAGCAGACTCCTTAGTCAAATGACTTGAACACGCGGATCTTAACAATAGATCAGAATTCTTAATCCTAATTCATGAAATATTGAATGTAGGTATTGTGAAGACAGTGGATGCACGTGATTTTCTATGAGTAGGTTAAATAGTCAACAAAAACAATTAACTATCAGCAGAACATGTAATCATATTAGCAAGCAATGCAATATTTGAAGACATTAAGCAATCGAAAGGTGTGCTACTTTTAGATGAAACATCATACAAGATCAAGATAGTTAAATTGACTAATTCGAAATAACTGTTGGACTTCAAAAGTTGCCTAAGATTCCAAAATATACTCTATTTTCTTATGATTTGCAGATCAAGTTACCTTACAACCAAAACAGTTAAAATAAAGTGAAGTAACCGATTCGAGTAGAATGACATCAATAATACAACTTACAATACATCAGCAATCAACTTTGGATTGGTACCTTCACACGTATATACCGTCTGCAACCCAGTACAATTTGCTGGGACATTTGGTTTGCAGATGTCCCAAAAATGTGGTCTTAATCGACCAAGATTGTATTTTGTAAGCGTAGTTATAAAAAAAGTTGATCCAAGAGATATAAGAGCGGCAACACAGAAATCATAGATAAACGGTAAAGACTAGGAGAGTAACAAGAATGACCGATTAGGACGACAACTTACGCGCTTAATTGAATAATTCCTATTTTCGGTACATTTCTTAAGTACGGCGATGATTATCTCTACAACAAAAATCTTTTCAGACAAATTATTTTGGCAATAAAACAATTTACGGTAACAAGCGGTGTGAGATAACCAACTAAGGTTACTGCTACATCAGTTATAGTGTTGCCTTTATATGGATATTTGATACTCCAGTCATCACAAAAGAAAGTCCATTTATGGCTTCCAAAGCGCTTTATCAGAAAATAAACAGCATGAACTAAAACAGAAATGAGTTAAATATTGTAATCAACTTACGTAAAGCAACAGTTAATAAGTCTGAAGAAATACGGAGGGCTAATGGAAGATTCATTATCACAGTATGGAGTGTGTTAACAAAGTTGATCTTATTAACAAATATACGAACTTAGTCACAGTAACTTTTCGCTATCAAAGGCAAAATAAGACACAATGCAATATGAAACAAACGAAAATTTCAAACGGGTTTCTCATCATGCAAAACTAATGAGGATTAGGATCGGATCAACATTTAAACTAGTAGGTTCTAAGTTCATAGCGGACTTTCACAGTAAAACTGTTTCGACTTAATGAAATTTTCAACTAGTGGTTGGTGAGATAATAGTAACGACGCTAGGATTAGACAACTATATAGCTACGAAACGGACAAAAAACAAACATTAATATAATTTTGGAAGATACCTTGCAGGGTGAGGTTGATGGAATTTTAACCACAGCCTGAAACTTTGGACTGACTGTAGAGATTTCGAATGGTGCCTTATTTTCACTTTTTATAGGCATTGATCAAGTGTCATGTTACAAGATAGAAACTAGATTTCAAGCTGAAGGCAATAATACAGAAGTTTTTATTGACTTGAAACAACATCTGCTTCGCTGTCAACTTTGAGTTGATAGTTATTCTGGATAATGTTCGAAAGCTTTGACTACTGTTGTCTTTATGACACTTTAAGAGAAATCACGTTTATCTACATAGTTAATTCATTATGTCAAACGTATGTCCTTCCAAAAAATTTTTGTAATGACGAAGCGTTCACTAAAGAGAAACCAGGGGCTAGCACACAATATACAACATGAAGACGATAAACACAGCGTAAGTGCTAATCATTATTAAGGCTCGGGTAGGATTTTACGATCATCTAAATGAATCTATGTCACAACTCCTAATTCTGTCTCTTACATTTACCTACTTTACGCCACTAATAGGACATTATGAGATTTTAACAGCCATGATAATTTACCTAGAGGTGAAGAACAAGTTTCAATAATGCACGCACTCCTACACTTCGTCTTCCTTTTGATCTTCATTTTAGTATATGCCTATAACTTTAACTTCACATAATCTTTGTTATTATCGCTGATACCGTTGAAATTTCGACCACCCATCGATTTGTCTTCGTGTGTTGATCTGGCTCTGCCGTTATGGTGCTGTGATTTGACAAGTTCCACGTTTTTTACCTACTTAAAAGAACTTAAATAGAAACCAGTTTGTTACTAAAGTGGCTGGGATTAGCAGACACCGCATCCAGTACAGTGAGACTTGGTTCGTTAGGTCAGAAACTAGATGAGATTTCAAGAGACTTAAGTGAACAGGCTTCTACTAAGCTTAAAGTAGCCACATTTTTTGGGACCCTAAACGTGTTAGTGATGATACAGCATCCGAATAGAAATGAGTAAGGACGTTTTCAGCAAACGAGTTAGATTGTGACATAACGCTACTTTTTCAGCTTAACTATCTTTGCAATACGCTTTACTGATGTCTCTTTCTGAGGCAATAATGAACACACTATTAAGTGAGCAAAATAACTAGGAAATGTCAAGGAACATGTAGGAATGCTAAAGTAAAAATAACGGAGAACAACAACAAGGACGGTTTGAGTTATGGAAATTATTGTTTATTATTGAAATCACGAATCATTAGCCCCATACCGTGGCGAAAGGGCTGTCCAGTGCTTCCAGGTTTTTAATGGTGGTCTAATAAATGATCTTTTTCTAGGTAATCGGTTTCAACAGTCATAAGGAAAAATTGTTTAGAACTTATAATTTTATGTAAATTACTCTGACAAATGCTGAAATGTTTTTTATACTAAAGTTTAGTTCTGTTTAGATTTTTAACGTAGAGGAAAATTGAAAGAACCGAACAAAATACCAGAACCTCCTACTCGTCAGCCTTCAAATGAGTGTAGCGGACCATCCGGAAAACTCAACTCTAAATACGGAATACAATATTCAATATCCAATATCTTCTAAACGAGCTAGTTTAAACCACTTGATTTCTTCGCGTTCGGTTCTTATTTCTTCGGTAAGGTTCTAGGTGTTCGATAACATCCAGTGGATGTGGGTCTAACCACTTAACTGGCTGTCTCTCATGAGTTTGCATTTGTTTGTTTGTATGTCCCGTGATTGGAATGAATGGCAGTAGGGTTTGTTGATACCAGCAGCTATCAAATTATACGGCCAGAGATCAGATAGCTGCAGTTTGGAGAATTATAAGGAGAAAATTCTAATACATTTGAGATTTCGGAAATGAGTAGATAAATAATTAAATTAACCAGTAATGCAGATACTATGAGAAGGCGAAATAGTAAGGATAAAACAAAAAGCAGAGCTAATTATCTCAGGAGCGATAATGGTAACAACAGGTAAGTCTCGGGTTATGCATCAGGCACAGAGTTCGTTGGAGAAAACTGGTCGGCGGCCTATGCTAGATCGTGGTCAACAGGCGTTAGTAAGTATAAAGAAAAACATGATGAGATGCTGTACCTTCGTGTTCACTACTTCCTATTGATGATTACACATGAACATCCTCATCCAATACCCTGAGATAATTAGTGACGCAAAACCTGTCCTTCTGAAATCCTTGTGGTGCTTGGTACCATGTGCGAAACTGCCCACTTAGGTAGTCGATGTAGGAAGAGTAGAGTCGTCGGTCCTAAAGACGGTTTTTTTCCGAAAAGAAAGCCAAACTGATCCAGCAGTACCAAAATGTCTGTTCATAAGTCCTTTACCACACCACATCGATGCTAAAACGCATCAGAGACAATGAGTTCCGGGTACGCCCAGGGAAATGCCGATTTTTATTGCAGTCAGGAAAGCCTATGGTGCTCATTTGATGCCGACGGCCACAGACCGGATCCTGATAACATCCGAGCCATTAAACTGATGCCCACTCACACTTAGGTCCAGCATTGCGCTCTTTCCTGAGACTAATTAGCAATTGTTCAGCGTTTTTTCCGTTGATGAATGATATTCATGCTTCATTGAATTGTCTAATGCAGAAGAACTACACTTGGAACTGGACCAAACAGACTGACGCGGCGTTTCGCAAACTGAAGTCTATAATTAGCTCGGAATTGTTGTCAATGCACTGCTATCCATCAATACTGATCACCGTAGCTACAGACGTTTCAGCGTACGGCCAGATGCGTTAGAAAAAACTGTTATTCATGCATCCTACACACTAAGCTCAGCAGAAAAGAGATACAGCCAGATGGAGAAAGAGGCTCATGCCTTTGTGTTTACTGTTTGCCGTATCCACAAGTTTCTGCACGGTCATATATGATTTTGAAATCCGATACTGACGCGGGCAAAACAGACCAACCCATGGTATGGACAGAAGCTCGAGTGGTCAGTAGAGTCAGCCGTGTCATGTAAGAAGTTGAGGTACTAAATGAGAGACGGTCACGCCACTGAGTTCAGGTACACAAACAGCTAGCCTCAGATCACCCGTCAACAGTAACATGATACTATCTGAGAATAAATTGTTATTATTATTAGTAGTAACGGTGGTAAATATCCGCCTTGATATCCTGCTAGATACCTTCAACTTACAGACTGCCCCATCACGAGAACAAGCCCAACAACAACCTGATCTAAGTTCCAGATGGTGGTCCCTCCGGCAGCGGCGAATAATAGGCATGATGCAAGTCTCCCTAAAAAACGTGCGCTATTAAAAGGAGAGGCATGTTGTGGACGTGAAATCCCTAGAACTCACTTGGAAAAGGTCCTAATTTTTTAAATTATTGCTGAAATTTTGGATTTTTATGTTTTCGCTCCAGAGTAATTAAGCTGTCCTTCAGCTTACATTTCCCACTCGGAAAATCCTTGACTATCATTAGTCGATGAAATATTTCAGTAGGCTATTTTATGGCCCTCATCAAAGTTGTTTCATCATGGTATACATAAGCTTTAGTATTGTGCTTCTGGACCACGTATTTTCTGGGTGCCTGTGAAGTACATACTTTCTACATCTTATCAAGACTTGTTCCTCAAGTTAGCGGGGTCTGCGTCCATCGGACCAGAATAGCTTATCAGATCACTGTATCGCTGACCCTCGTTTCGTTTACAGAGTCAGATTTACTGGTGGCATATCAAGCTGTCTGAGCAAAATACTTCAGATCCTTTGGTCAGACCTATCAGCAACAACCTACTGTGGGAGAGAACAAATCAGATTCCAGTGGAGGAGGAAATCAAGAAGAAGTGTTGGAAGTGGTTAGGACACACTGCGGAAAGTATCCAACTGCACCACATAGCAAGCCTTAACTTGGAACTCACAAAGACAAAGTAAAAGAGGAAGGCAAAGGAGCACATTACGCCAAGAAATAGAGAAAAACACAAGAAAAACAATCAAAAATTGGAAAAAACAGGGAAAGGAACCCCAGAACACAGTAGGCTGAAGGATAATAGTCAGTAGCCTATACTCCATCGGCGGTAACAGACGTAAGTAATGATGTGAGTTTAACTACGCTACAAGAGTCACGCCAGTTTACAGGCTAGATCAAATTGTCACAAATACTTTCACAATCACTGTAAAGTTATAGCAGTTAAATTAAGTATAAGAGTCAGTTTCTGATTGCATATTTACACCATGTCACTGACAGAAACAGTATTGTACAGCCTCATTTTCAATAGTAGAGTACAAATAAGGAAGGAAGGTGCACAATAGGTTCTTTTGGCGATTTGCCGAGATCAATAGTGAATTTGTTGGGAAAGGTCATATGGAACGCGCTTGATACGAGCTGTGATCCAGACAGTCATGTACCTAGGGTGCATGTTCCCTAGAGTCGCCAAGGATTTCCCACCGTGAATGGGGTTCTGAAAAGGAGAAGAGAGAGAGGAAAAGGCAGCAGTGTGGCAAGTGTATATATATAACTAAGGCACTACTTAACCTGTCATGTTGAAGTAGTCAATACAGTAGTAAGTCAAGATAAAATTCATACTGACCACTTAAATTAAAGTAAATTATGGGAATATAAGAATATAACGCACAGATAAAGGAGTACAGCAAAAAGAAGGGAGAGTTGTGCAGTGTCAGGTGGACAGAAGAGAAGTCGAAGTAAGAAGCTGGATTTATGTACGTTGAAATCGAAATTCTAGTTGAAAGAGTAGAGTTTGTAAAAATAAAAATTTGAGGAATAAAATCTCGCACTGTCTAACTGTTTTTTTATTATTATTGAATGCCAACCTCTAAGTCATACTGTTAGCGCCTGTGTAAGAATGTTGCAGGTGTCTCGACAGAATAGCGACCTCAGCATAGTTTTGGAAACATGAACCACAGAAGTAGCAAGCGTATAAGAGCAACCTCAGTGTTACTGATTAGTCGTCTCATCAATCTAAAGAGCCGAAAGCAAACAAAATGTTCTGCCCCACAAACATGGGTGGTTTGAAGTTATCGCCCACACCATCAATGTTTGCTGGTCAGTAACTCCACCCTCCCTCCTATCGTTGAATTGTCATTATGCAACTGCCTCTACTGTTGTTTGCGAAGTGTCAGTACACAAAATGATATGAGTTATAGTAATTAAGTATAAGTGCGTGAACATGGCACTCTTCACGATCTTTCGCCTGGCGTTTAGAAAGCTCTTTGGTTTCAAGCCACAAATTGAAATCCACATGTTTTCTAGAAATCGTGTTTTGTGATCAATTCCCAGAAGCTCAGTTAAAGGCTGTAATATCACTGCATATTTAGGCATGAAACGACGACAGAAATTGCGTATGCCCAAGAATTATCAAAAAATTTAGTTTGAAGCGGGTTCTAGATAGCCAGTGACTGTTTCGACCTCTCACAATGGCTTGATACCGTGTTAGTCAACATGATATCCGATGCTCACGTATACACTTTGATGGATTTGTGACAACCGGATAGCCTATTAAACGATCACACATGGTGCGAAGTTGTTCAGGATTCTTTTTTGGAAGAGCTGGTGACAAGAACATCATGGACATAGCCGAACACAAAGTTTAGTCTTCTTTTGACTTCATTTGCAACTCATTAGAAATTCTGAGTGGCGTTTTTCGGCTTAAATATCATCTCAATGAACTAAAGACCACGTGACAGAACCACAGTAAACACCATCACCTAACTAAGTCAACTGTTAGGTGACTTGTCTTTGATTTATAATTCTCTTTATCGATTCACTAAGCTAGTGCTGAAAAAATAGGATGGTTTTCTTACACGTTTTAGACTGGTGAACCAAGGATATGAGTGTTTCAAACTAAAAACTCTGTCTAAAGACTAATTAAAATGACTAAAGCTTATCTGCAGCTTACAGTCTGAAACACTCTTGTAGTTTACATGAACTTTTCTTCAACATGTGTCATGTCATTCATTTGTAATCCATGTTCGACTCTTCCTGACCAGTGTAAGTGAATTGATCTTCATTCTATTGCACAAGCAGGTGGATATCTGGAATCAGTAGCTAAATGAATATCTAGTTACGATTTGAAGCAAAATGTACTGGATTAGAGTCCCGAGGTGCACGACATCTCTAATAAACAGACACATCTAGCTGACGAGTCCTAAATAGAACGAAACGCGCCACTTGTTTTCACCAATAGAAATTACCCAACTCTACTAATAAGCAACGTGTGAGTTCATGAATTTCTCCGAGTTAAATCATGGAAAAAAGTTCGCAACTTAGGTAATAAGCTTATAATTTCAGGAGGTTCTGGCTCGACCTCAAGTGTGACGCAGACCATATGAAAGACGCAAAAGTCTTATGTCATGATCGGAATGCCTTTCAAACAAACCATGCACTGGCAACATGAAAGGGAATTTTTGGCCAGTTTAACAGTGGAACATTACGTCAAATCTTTGGGAGGCAGTGTGGAGATTAAGGGTTCTTTCCTCACTCTCAAATGTACCATAATATACACAAATGTATCCGAGGGCTTCGGATACCTAGAATCAAACATCATACGAGCGCCTCAGTTCATTGGATCTTTACCTGTTA